TCGGCATAGTATAGTTTTGTAGATGTATTCGGAAAAGGCGATACTAAAGGTGACATATGGAACTACCATAAATATTTAACGCACCACAACAAAAGAAATAATCTGTCACTCCTATAAAGGGAAATTACGGAGTGTAGAGAGAAGGAGGACCATCTCTATATATGAAAAGTGTCCCTAAAAACGTGTCCAATAAGGGTGGCGCTGCAGTAGCATAGGATAAATTTAAAAAAAGCGCCAAAAGTAATTAGAATAAGATGGAGAAATAAACAAGGACCGACCAATCCGCTTGGTTTTGTACTACGTAAGGTACGTTGGGGTAATACCGGACGGATTTTCGAAAAGTTGGAAGAGTCTGCCAAAAACTTTAATTTCTCGACATTCGTATACGTCAGATTTATGGAACATGGAGCAAACCGTTAATCGTTAAACGTAGTTTAGCTCTGAGAATCTTTTGCTTGTGTAAACTCAACGGTTTCTGCTTTAAAGGTGTGCGAAAACTAGACATACTTTTTTATATGCATAATGAAAAATTGGCCATTAAGGGGTAAGACCGGACTTAAATTTAAAACCACTTCTACTGCTTAGAGAAAAAAGTTTATAAAAGAGATTTGTTCTATATTTAACGCTCAAAAACATATTTCAATATGATCTATAAATTACTAGAAACATAAATGTTCCAAACGATTTTCTCTTTTTTTGTTTCTTGCCATCCGATCTTATCCCTGATATAAAGAAATTGTAATTTTATGTTTCTCAAACTTTGTTATGACATAAGATGGAATTACTCAATATAAGAGAAAGATCGGATGCATTTGATTTTATATGGGAAAAAAATAACAGTAAGGACTGGCGAAATGCCCTGGGATAATTCAGGAGTTAAGGAAGATATAAATATTTTAACAAAGCGGCATTTATTATTATAAATTATTTTTTAAATAATTATTATAAATTACATTTTGATTTGTAATAGAGGATAGATATAGATGTCTATGGGCCCCAGCAATCACTTAACATCAGGTGGAATGTGTGCTCCTTTGTCACCCTTATCCTATAAAAAAATGTATTTTAATGTGTACTTAAAAGTAATAAAACCATCGTATTGTTTTATTACTTTTTAATATACAGACTTGCTAACGAGACTGAGTCCCATAGTCACTTGAGTAATCAACGAAAAAATATACACGACCAATGAAAGTTTAACAACCACTGCCATATTTGTAACAGGCAAAGATCGGATAATATTCATCCGATCTTCACTCACGAGGGGAAACATCGGATCTCGGCCTACAGCGATCTTAGCCCTGCATGGACCAGCTTTATTTAGCTATAACTTCATAAAAATTAGTATCCACACAAAATAATAACAAAAGAAGCCATATTCTCGCTAAAAATCGTAAATAAAAGTGATAGGGAAAGATCGGATGGACAAAAATAATACAAAAATTACATTGTTTTATAAAATGCCACGCAGCACAGGTCCCACTTGCCGGAGTGACTGGCACGAACTGAGGGTCGGGGCAGGATGAAATGGCGTCGTGTAGCATATTGTTAGCTTTTCAAAATATAGCATAATTCGCCGGGAATTTGAATCCTACGGTCTTGCCCCATCACCGATCTTACCCCAACGTACCTTAAATAGTTGAGATTTTGTATACTGGCATTTTACTAAATACTGGAGAAATCGGTTACTGGGAACCAGGTTGTAAAAATTGTTATTTTTAAATTTCAATTGCAATTCTAAAGAAATAAACGTAAAAGTATAAAAAAAAATGTTTAATTAATACTCGTTTTCTGTTAAACAATAATTTAAATAATTCGGCCCTTACCCTACTACATCATGCAAACACATGACGATACATTGTTACTGTTTAAAATATCGACATGATAAATATTGATATTTTTTCACTCACCATCACTATGACAGTAAGGGCGTAAAATCAGTGCAGTGTATAACAACAGTGTAATAACTGACGTCTCTAATTAGGGCGATATATACACATTGTTACTGTTATAAATATCCATCCATTATTTTATTAATTTTGATATTTTGCAAAGAAAAAAGTCACGTTGTTGGTACTTTGTATGATTTTCGTGAATTCATTTTTAAACAAAATATTTTATATTTAAGCTAGGGAGCGCTATGGATTGAATCAACTATATCAAAATTTATGTCGATATTTATCTTGAATGTTTATAATGAATAATAGACTTGCCAACACAACAAAGAAAGAAATAAAAATTAATATTCAATTTGTGTTCTAAGTCGGTAATTTTATTTTGCCATTTGTCAAGCAGATGGACACAATAAAAAAATGAATAAGGTTAATTGGACGGGTTTGTTGGAATCCAAAGAAGAACTACAATTTGCAGCAAACATTTTATTTAGAAATATAAAAGAAAAAGCAGAATAAAAACAAGTTTATTAAAAGAAGCCATTCCTACATTATTTGTACCAGTACTTAAGAGCGGCCAACCCGTCTAACTTTTCATACAAAAGCTTGTATGTGATTATGGCGTTGTAATAGATCTTTCTTTGAAAATTTTAATATATAATATAATTAATAGGTATTTTGTGCACTATATCTAGGTTCCTATCTAAACAAAAAATCTAAATTTGTAGAAACAAATTCAGTATAAGCCTTCAAAAATCTGCTTTTTTGCATAAATTTTACCTGAACTTTGGTCGTTCATAATGTACTCACTAATAGTAAAAGTAAAGAAATTATTTTATAGAAGCCTCGCCAATGTAATGGAGACTGACTAAATGACAAAAATTTATTTCACAAAGTTGTGGGTTACTGAAAAACACGTATTTCCTGGAACAAGTTTTATGAAATTCCCGCACACTATTTTTCGTTCAATAATATCGCGTTCTCACTTGCTTATTAGCTAAGTGGCGGTAAGAGGTATGCGGGGGACAAGTCGTGCGGGGTAGGGGCGGGGTGAGACGGGGGAGTTGAATGACGAGCGCCGGTGGCGCACGCGTTTGGCTCTCTGGCCTCTCGGAATTGTTAGTAGGTATTCAATTTGTTGACTGCGCTTCGTCAATGTGCCGTTGCATTTTATATTTAGTGACATCTGTTTTACCTACTACAATGATCTTTTTTTTATACCGGACACTGATTTTGCTAGCGAAGGTTTAGCTATTTTATTATGTGAAACGAACCTGGCATTTGTGAATACGGACACAGACTTTGTTTGGATAAGGATTTTGAAGCAGATCGATTTTATTACTATTGAGAATGAGAATATTACTATTGTTATTAGATAATAATATGTTTTTTTACTAAATTTTCAATTACTTCTGGCAGTAAACTCTTTGTGTTCGGAAATCGGAATCGTCTCGACAACCGGGTTGTTTTATGTATTGTTCATAAAGTGTAACAAAGTTCTTTAGAATAAAAATACATATTTATACCCAACTCTATTTAGACTACTTTATTTGTGATCAACCACCTTTACTACGGTACAAATTAGTACCTAAACAACATTTGGAGACATTTACATACGGTACAAGTAAGTACGTTACCTAATTTCAGCTTCCTAAATACAAACGGCCTAGACAGGTAAAGAGTTTATTCTGTTTATACCGCTACTCCATAAGCAGAATAAATTATTTACCTTTACATTTTCGTGCTCTGTTTAGGAATAACATGGACGAACAATATAAGTTGGATGGAACACCCTGCTAAAACAAAACTGAGTCCAGTTTATGTCTGAGTATTGATGTTTGCGCGTGTAACGGCCGACTAATATGTTGTGAATGTTTGCGTGCCGGGCTTGTAAGCACGACGACAAATCAAGTTATATAAACCAGTTTATGCGGTACTCTTATTGTACGGGAAATTGAAACAAAGCGAGGCCATGTTATACTGGAAAAGTATAGCTTGATGTGTCGCCGAGTGTACTTACACACACGAGTTGACCGACTCTGAGTGACAGTTATTTTTATTTGCGACATATTATTTTTTACATGGAAAGTTATTTATAACATTATAAAATTATTTATAACATAAATAATTTCTTTAATATATTATATTTATAATTATAACATAAATAATTTCCATGTCAAAAATAGCGCACGTACGATACCTAGTTTGGTAAAAAACAACACACACATATCTCCGAGGCCAAGTGGCACGTCTATACTAGACAAAGAGTAATATAATAAAATAATATGGTACCTACTAAATGTAGGCATGCAGAGAAATTTACAAAACTATAGCTATGCGCCATAGTAGCGAGCCCGTAAGTTACCGAATGCCAACCGAACACTCAGGCGCTGTCTTTCTCTTTTCGCTTTGCCTCTTTTTCTAACATTGCGCTGGATGAAACAACAAGCTTTTTAACCAAGCTCGCGTTGACGATAGACGGGCCGGGAAGGGCCCTCTTAAGTAGAATATTATTACAGTAAGACTTCAAAAAATTTAACTTCAAAAACTTTAGGTAAACATAGATATAGATTTTATAAATTATGAAACCAGTAAATATTAAAAACAAAAAATATTGAGATTATTCTATTTAAGCAATTATGAACCCAACTGATTTAAGCAATTATGACAACTGATGTCTATTCATGCCAAACATGCCAAAAAATATATAACCTTGACCACCCGCACCTCAAGGTCACACCAGTACAATATTTATAGCATCACGCTATTTTCTTCAAGGGGTTGAGTGGAGCTTCGGATTATATTCCCAAGTCACAATGGTAAAACTTTTAGTGTAGTTTGGTATAGATATTTAGTAATGCTCCTGAAGCACCGCTAGATGCCCACACCACACGCGCGAATATGTTTGCCAGGGTAGTATAATATAAATACTAGATATTTTTAAACAGTATCAATATATATCGCGTGATAAATTTCGAAACATCGCGATTAAATATATCGACGTTATCTATCGATATCTTTATGAGAAAATATGGATATTTCGATATATCGATATTTTTTGCCCAAGCGTACGCTAATCTATTTATGTCAATGTCACAAAACAAAACCAATATATATTTATCTATGAACAAAACTAAAGGAGCGCGAATCGACTGTAATGTAAAATTATTCATACATAGTTCATTTAATTTTAATTATTAACTAGAAATGAAAATCAAATTACTAAAGAACTATTACAAATCTATGTTGTTATTTTCCATGCAGTTGTTTTATCAAATAGAGTTGTCAATTATCAACATATGAAATAAAAAAAACGCAATTATGGATCAAGAAAATCGAATAGTAGTTTTGATTGATATGGATTGTTTTTACTGCCAAGTAGAAGAAAAATTGAATCCTGAATTGAAAGGAAAGCCTATAGCAGTTGTACAGTATAATCCATGGAAAGGCGGCGGGTAATCACTCAATTTAATCTCATCCTATTCAATAATTAAGAGAAACATAATTATCTTTTGTGTTGATATGGGTTACTAATAATGCTTATTTACTATTATAGTAAAATTTATTAATAAATAGAGTAAAAATTCAAATGTGAAGCTCTAAGTAATTACTCCTTCAAAACGGGACTCGACAGTATGTGCAGTGCTGCTTAGTGCCTAAAATAGGTAAGAACCTACCTCTCCAGTGGTACCTACCTGCCCAGATGAACCCGCGATAGCTGCCGCAATGCTATGTGGACTTGGAATTTTTAAAACATAAGATTCACTAATGAGCCACCTGATGGGCAAATCATCATCTGATGTTAAGGTAAAGGCACTAATGCTCGACACTTTAAGGAATACACAAATTTTATGCTTCATAATCAAATATATTTATAAAATTAGAACAGTTACAGTTTTTTATCTGAGTACAGAAACATTACGAAAACTACTTTTAATCATAAAAACTTATATAATCGGCTTTATTTATATTATAATTTTTATTTATTTAAACTTTGGTATAGGAACTAAAAGATGACATTTTTACCACTATTAGTAGACATCAGTAAGCACTAATAGTAGACATATTAGATATGCACATTCTTATCAAATTACTAACGCATGCATTTAATCAAATCATACAACAAATCATCATAAAATTTTTAAGCTTTCATGTAATGATGTACTAGTAAAATATTTTCATATCGAGTGTTATCCATCATAGGTATATGGATGTGGAGGAAGCGAGAGAGGTGTGTCAGGATCGTGCCAAATGGAAGTCCATAATCTCTGCCTACCCCTCTCGTGCCTAACACTCACGCCTGTCACCCGGCGTGAGTGTTTATGTTATGTTATCCATCAACTTGTATAGTTTCAGGAATAGACAAACTTAACTTTCTTGGTATCTCTCATATTTAAAAATGACCAAAGGAGGTAGAACATCGCTGGTAGCATTGCTAGCATTGCACCTAGAAGTACAGTAAAGCATTCTTTTTCATCCGCATTAATTTTCTGATAAACCATTTTTCTCCTTTAGGTGCTAACACTTTATTGCCTTTAGTATTTAAGATAAAAGCTGTCTCATCCATATTAAAACTTCTTCGAGGTTCATACAATATATCCCAGTTGTTGTTATCATTTAAGTAGCAGCTGACCTCTTCGAACCAGTTCTTGAATTGAGATGTTGTCACATTAGCTCTGGAAGTAGTCAAATTTTGGGGCTGTCTTGCAATTAGATCAGGGTGACGTTTTAAAAATCTACTGTACCATCTTTTTCCAGGTCTATCGTTCTTAAAAGGGGTTTCTAAATTTAAATCATCTACTAATTTCTTAACACTATCTTGCAAATATCTATGCACCATCTATGAAATAAGGATTTTCGATAGGGAAAGATAATTTGCAAGATAGTGTTAAGAAAATAGAGAATGATTTAAATTTAGAAACCCCTTTTAAGAACGGTAGGCTTGGCAAAATATGGTGCAGTAGCTTTTGCCGACGTTATCAACATCTTTTCTATTTCTTCGGTCATATAACACTTTATTCCCATTTTACGATGTATTTGTTTTTCTCTTTACTTTATTCAATAAAGTTACTCTCGATACACCAAATTTTTTGGCAGCAGTAGCTGTCGGAACACCTCGCCTGCATTCTTCTATAGCTGCTTTCATATCAGCTTCAGAATAACAAAACATCTTTCATTTTTTGGCGGCATCTTGTTCAAATATAAAATCCGGAATCAAAAGGACATTTAACTAATTGACGATGACACCAATAGTTGTCATCTTGTACCCTAATAGATGACAGCCTGTATATAAATAGGTACGATAGTGTAAAAGTTGTCAAATTTAGACAGGCCCTTATTCATAGGAAATAGAGTCTTTACTCATTTAAACGGACACTTAGAAATTCAGATTCGTATTACCCCAATAGATGACACATGTGTCTGTTTTTAGGTTTTGACAAATTTTCGACACTAATAGTAGACACTCTAAATAATTATAAAATATTGTTACGCGCCACTATTAATGTCTTGTACATGGCAACACTAGTTACACTAGCGCCCCCTAGTGTCGAGTAAATGAAAGTATTGCGCGCCACTATTAATGTCTTGTACATGGCAACACTAGTCACACTAGCGCCCTCTAGTGTCGAGTAGCAGAACTAGGAGAGTCGAGATCCTTCCAGAAATTTCGGAACCGATATGTACTCGAACATTCTAGATGTCGCTACAGTAGAAGGTTCTGGAAACTATCTGAGGCCCTATATAAGGCCGGTATAGACCACGACCGGGCAGTATTGAATTGGCGATACAAGAGAATACTTCGAAGCGAAATAACGGCGAACTGTGTTTTATTATTAGTGTGATTTTAGATTGTAATTAGTGTTGTGTAATTAAAGTGTCAATTTTGGTAATTCAATCGGCAGTTTTTAATTGTCTCGAACCCCAAGCTCGTAACAATTGGTGTCAGAAGTGGGATCAAATATGCCGATTTTACCTAAAGACGACACGGAGGGTATCCGTACCCGAAGTCAACGCCAACAGGAGACGGACCAGAGACGATTTGGTAATGCAACGCCGCAAACGTCGGAGGGCCAGTTGCTAACCACGGAGGCTGGCCCGTCAGCAGCTCCTGCATCTGCAGCACCTGACTTAGGTGCTCTGATGATGATGCTGCAGGATCAGGCTCGCCGACAGGAGGAACAGACCCGTCGGCTGGAAGAGCAGCTGCAGCGCGGTATGGAAGAACAGATGCTCCTCAGGAAGGACCTTCACGCTACCTTCGGGAAAGAGATAAAGGAGGTGAAGGATAGGGTTGCTCAACATGACAACCGCCTGTCGGAAGCTGAAACCCGAATCGACCAAGTGAACAATCGGGTTGACAACGTGATGGCTGATGTGAAGAAAACGCTGGACGACCTCAAACTTGGGGATGGAGTTACAGCTCCCGTGGTAGCTACAACACCTTCGCTACGTGGATTCAAAGTGCCACCGTTCGACGGGACTTCTTCCTGGTCGGCCTATAAAATCCAGTTCGAGGCTGTCATGAAAGCGAACGGCTGGAATAAAAGTCAGGCCATGACTGCTCTCACCCTAGGCCTGCGCGACCAGGCATTAACTGTTCTGGAAGCTCTCGGTAAGGAAGTGACTTACGAGCAGCTCCTTGAGGCATTGGAGGCGAGATATGGCGACGCTCACCTGGAACACGTCTTTCGTGCGCAGCTTAAAGATCGCGTGCAACGCAGTAACGAAAACCTGCAGCAGTGGGCCCTTGAGGTGGAGAAGCTGGTTCGAAAAGCTTACCAGTCTGTACCTGTGCTCATTGTAGGGAACCTGGTGCAGACTTTCATCGACGGCATCCGCGACCTTGAAGTCAGAGCTGCTGTGAGGCTCGGGCACCACGAGACGCTTAAGGACGCCCTGACCCACGCACTGGAGGTGGAAGCCGTGCGGCAGGATCATCGTTCCCACCGCGTCAGGGAGGTTGCAGCAGCTACAGTTCAGGACCGCAATAAGGGCTACAACCCTAGGTGCTACGGCTGTGGGGAAAGGGGCCATCTTCGATCCAGCTGCCCTAAACGAACTGTAGAAAGGGAAGGTGATCGATCTCGAGAGGGTAGTGCGGATAATAGTACCGCCCAGCAGCAGCAGGGAAACGAGTAAAAGCCAGGACTGCGGGGCGGGTGCTGGCTGATGTTAAAAGAGCCCCAAGGATTTCGATCTCACAAACCCATGATGGAAACAGCCTAATCATCAAGGGCGAAGTCAACGGAACGCCGTGTAAACTGACCATAGACACTGGAGCCTCTCGCACGGTTGTCAGTTCCCAACTTATAAGTCGGTTCCTTGGGGACTCCGCATACAACCGAGAACGCATTAATTTGGTGACAGCCACCGGTCAGCGCATACCCGTCCGTGGAGAGAAGGAGATGGAGTTGAAGCTAGGCAACATGATCTACCTGCATAATGTCATCGTGGCTGATATAATGGACGACTGCATCCTGGGCCTAGACTTTATGAGGAAGAATTGTTGTGAGATCGACGTTAAGCAAGGTGTTTTGAAATGTGGACAAGAAGAACTTTTCGTGGAAGGGGCGTTACCAGGGAATGTGTACAGCCTTAAGAAGATTGTTCTTCCGCCGAGATCGGAAACGATTGTGCCGGTTAGTCTTCCTCGGAGTCCTGGGCAAGCTCATCGTTGTGTACTCGTGGAAAGGGTAGACAATGACCTTCCATGGAAAGTGGCTCGAACCTTGGTCAGAACCACCGACATTGTGTGTTGAACCTTTGTGATCAGGAACAGATTATAGAAAAAGGCACATTGGTTGGTACTAGTGAGGAAGTGGATTGGTTGCGTCGATGCGAATATTTATCGACTGGGACCCTTAGCAAGGATGGACAAACGAGAGTGACCACACTTTTAGAAGACTGTCGCAGCGTTCTCTCCCCGAATGAAATGGTCAAGGCGAAGAAGTTGTTACTCAAGTACGCCAATATTTTCTCGTCAAACGAAGCTGACATAGGAAAGACTGGATTAGTTCAACACAAAATAAACACAGGACAAGTATTGCCTATTCGTCAGCGGCCAAGAAGATTGCCTGTAGCACGTGAAAAGGAAGTGGAAACCATGATTGAGGGAATGGTGAAGGATGGTGTTATTGAACCTTCATCTAGTCCATGGTGTTCACCTGTGGTGCTGGTAAAGAAGAAGGACGGCAGCATGCGGTTTTGTGTTGACTACCGCCGCCTGAACGACGTTACGAAGAAGGACAGCTATCCCTTGCCTAGAATTGATGACACGCTGGACATGCTCACAGGCGTAAAGTGGTTTAGTACGCTGGACCTGAAAAGTGGCTACTGGCAGGTTGAAATTGACCCTAAGGACAAGGAGAAAACTGCATTCTCCACAGGAAAGGGTCTGTGGCAATTTAAAGTCATGCCGTTTGGATTGTGCAATGCTCCAGCAACGTTTGAAAGATTGATGGAGCTTGTACTTACCGGGCTAATTGGAGATGCCTGTCTGGTCTATTTGGATGACATCATCATCGTAGGCCGTACGTTTGAGGAACACCTTCAAAACCTGGAACGCGTGCTCATGAAGATCCAGAGTGCCAACCTCAAGTTGAGTCCAAAGAAGTGCTCACTATTCAAACGGCAAGTTAGTTTTTTGGGGTATGTAGTGTCGGAAGAAGGTATCCGCACGGATCCAGAGAAAATTGCTGCTGTCAAGGAGTGGCCGGTCCCAAAAGACAAGACACAGGTTAGAGCATTTTTGGGTTTGTGCTCTTATTATCGGCGATTTGTGAAGAACTTTGCAGATATAGCCAAACCTCTGCACAAGCTAACCGAGGAGAAGCGACAATTCTGCTGGGATGAAAGTTGCGATATTGCATTCCAGGAGCTCAAGAACCGCCTGTGCAAAACACCTATTTTGGGGTACCCTGATGCGGGCAAGGAATTCATAGTTGACACAGACGCAAGTGATATAGGACTTGGCGGTGTGTTGTCTCAACGGAATGGTGATCAAGAGATTGTGATAGCGTACTTCAGCAAGTCGTTGTCAAAGCCGGAAAGGAACTATTGTGTCACAAGACGGGAATTGCTTGCTGTGGTAAAGTCCTTGCAGCATTTTAGCAAATATCTTCTAGGGCGGAAATTCCACTTACGAACTGACCATGCTGCACTGAAATGGCTATTGCAGTTCAAAAATCCGGAAGGACAAGTTGCGAGATGGATAGAACTACTGCAGGAATACGACTTTGTGATCGAACATCGCAGCGGGAAATCTCATGGCAATGCAGATGCATTGTCAAGAAGACCTTGCCCTGAAGATTGCAAGCATTGTACTAGGCAAGAGGGTAAGGAAGTGGTATCTGTGAGAATGCTCAGGACAGACCAGCTCAGCAATGAGTGGAAGGACAGCCTACAACATGCACAGCAGGAAGATTCGGACATTAAGCCGATTCTGGAATGGATGAAGGCCAGTGCTCCTAAGCCCAAGTGGAGCGACGTCTCAGCAATGAGTTCGACCACGAAAAGCTATTGGGCCCAATGGGACAGCTTGCTGATTCAGGATGGAGTCCTGTGCCGTAAATGGGAAAATGGTCGGGGAGACAGGTGTCATTTGCAAATGGTTGTCCCTAAGGCTAAAGTGCCGGATATTCTACGGCTGTACCATAGTGGTTGTTCAGGAGGCCACCTGGGAGTTAACCGAACTCTCCTGAAGATCCGAGAACGGTTTTACTGGGTCCACTGTCGTGACGATGTCGAGGACTGGTGCCGCAAATGTACAAGTTGTGCGGCTGTAAAGGGACCTCAAATTCGTAGTAGAGGCGCATTGAAATTGTACAATGTTGGTGCACCATGGGAGAGGATAGCCATTGACGTTGCGGGGCCGTTTCCAGAAACTGAAAGTGGTAACAAGTATTTCATGGTAGTGATGGATTACTTCACTAAGTGGCCAGAAGTCTTCGCCATTCCAAATCAATTTTGGTAATTCAATCGGCAGTTTTTAATTGTCTCGAACCCCAAGCTCGTAACAATATTAACGAAAAAACGAAGTCTGTGGGGTCTTACTATGTAAATAATGTCTTATTGATTCGTAACCAAAACCAAAAGTAGGATAAATCGTAAAAATATAAAACAAAATAAAACATGTGAAATGCAACTTCCTTAAATTTTTTGATAATAAATCACAGAGCACGCGTTCACTTGCTACATAGTTTACTTCAACTCATGCTATTTTGAATACTATTTAAATAGGCGAATGAAAGGTTTTGTCTAAGCGTCTTAGATGACACTAGATATCTTTTAACAACAGTATTAAAGTTATATCAAGAAAACTATTCTTAATAAAAGAGATTTCTTTTGAATGTGTCATCCTTTAGTTCAATGTCGAGCATTAGTGCCTTTACCTTATAAATAAAAATGCTATAGATTACTTGTCAACCATGAGGATCAAAGTAGTATGTCTTTCCACTATAGCTTGTAATTGCTGTTCTGTCAGAAGTGACAGAACTCAGCTCTCACTTACTCTAAAGGACAGGCAAAGACAGACTTCTATGTGGCAAAATCCTTACATCCTTCTCTTGCCTCTTTCATATCCAAATACCAAGCATACATGCTTGTCAGTTAAGGGTGCTCTTAATTTAGCCCATTTTCAATATATTGCCAATTTAGTCAATAAAATAGCTAGGGCATGCCAACTCATTTCTACAGCATTAATTTTATGCTCACGCTGCTCCATACCCATTTGTGGGTCCATGGGACCCACATAAACCACTAGTGTCCTACCTAGTAGAGTGAAACATCCTTACTATGTGCATGTAGAAAGGTATTATAATGTATAAAGTCACATGAAAAGGCTTTTAGAATAGATTAGAATCACTTTTACCTATATATATACCACTATACCTCTGTCCTGGGAAGAACCAGCAGGAAATCCAGTAGGACTTCTTTTAAATAAGGTTAATTTACAATATATTACTTAATACAAACTGTAAATTGTACCGAGACTAATTTTGTAGTTGAGAATAATAATTAATTAATTTGCACGAATTAATTATCCAATGTGTCAAAGATGAGCTAGTAACAGAATATGACAAGTGCACTGCTGCACGCCAGAGCCAAGACTCTCTTAACGGTCGCTCTGTCCATTTTATACAAACTTTACAAGTTTTAACAAGGAGCCACTACAGGTGCAATGCACAGGTGTGTGGTGCACATTTTGATTACAAGAATTCTGGATAGCAATTCTGGATAGCCACAGAGGTGCCTCCGCACGTGCAACGGCGCACACAATCACAATCTTAGTTATCTGTAGGCAGAAAAACATTTATTTATTCATTGCATTTACATGTGGTTTTGTGTGACACATTACAGCACATGCACCCAGCAAGGGTATAACAATATCTAATAAAGCTAGCCTTATTTTCTAATACCTTAATTCTAATACTAATATTTATATATTTTGTACATGACAGGTAGTTTTTATTTATTTATTTAGTTATATTTTTTTCAATAACAATTATTTTTATAGGATTATTGCAGTCAACTATGTTGCAAGAGCAATGGGAGTGACACGACACATGAGAGGGGATGAAGCCAAGGAGAAATGCCCTGAGATCCAGTTGCCTTCTGTACCATGTCTGAGAGGCAAAGCTGACATTACCAAGTAAATAACAATATTACGTTATAATCATGTAAAATCAATCAAGCAAGTTTATCTGTAAATTGATTTAAAAAAGTATATGGTAGTGATGTATGATGGAGGGTCAGATTTCAATATCTTATATTGCTTACTAAAATTAACTAAATGATATTACACCAGCAAAATATTTTGGCAGTCAATAGGTGAGGAATACATTTGAAAAGCCCCAGCTTGTTTGGAAAGTGTGTATAACTGCAATTGGCAATTTTCCTACTAAGCATTATTGCACAGCATTATATTTTAATATAAATTATATTTATATAGCTGCACAGCAATAGACTGTCATTCATAGGGGGTATTTGCCATAGTTGCCACGCTTGGCGAGCGGGTTGGCAACCGCAGTTTTTTTATTGTAATTTGGCTATTATCAGGAAGATGCTGCTGCCCATCTCCTGCCTGTTTCCCTTTGTCGCCTTTTACGACACCCACGGGAGGATATGGGGTAGTGGATATTCTTGACCGCCACTACACGGCAAGTAACAAAGAAACGGCCCCCAGTCCCCGGCGGCCCCGCTATTCCTGGCTACGGTGGCGACCATGGTAACGGCGGGGCAGGGGGTGCTAAGAATCTCCGGTGGAGGTTCGGTTGCCACCTTAGACGACTCGACCTGGCAACGTACAACGCACGCACCCTGAGGACTGACGAGAAGATCGTGGAGCTGGAAGAAGAGATAGACAAGTTGCGCTGGCATATTATAGGATTATCCGAAGTCCGAAGAGAGGGGGAGGACACGGTAATCCTCGAATCCGGCAACTTGCTCTATCACCGGGAGGGCGACCATCTGTCCCAAGGAGGTGTCGGATTTATCGTCCACAAGTCTCTCGTTAACAACGTTGTAAAGATCGGGAGTGTGTCGACGAGGGTTGCGTACCTTATACTCAGAATCACCAAACGGTATTCGCTGAAGGTCATACAGGTTTACGCACCAACCTCGGCACACCCCGATGAGGAGGTGGAGGAAATGTATGAGGATATCTCTAGAGCCATGCATTCCTCCAAAACCCAATATACGGTGTTAATGGGAGACTTCAATGCAAAACTAGGCACAAGAGAGAACGGTGAGCTGAAAGTAGGGAAATTTGGAATAGGGCAACGGAACCCAAGGGGCCAGCAGCTGGCCGACTTCATGGAGAAAGAGGGACTCTTTATGATGAACTCTTTCTTCCAGAAGCGGCCCCACAGGAAGTGGACCTGGTCGAGCCCCGACGGTTCCACAAAAAATGAGATTGACTTCATTATGACGACCAGACGACAACTGTTCAGTGATGTCTCCGTGATCGCGAGGGTGAAAACTGGTAGCGATCACCGAATGGTTAGAGGCACAATGAACCTAAACGTTAAGTTGGAGAGGTCTCGTCTAATGAAGTCAACGCTCCGTCCCCCTCGTGCTCTGTTCCAGAGTCCCGAAACCTTTCAGCTCGAGTTACAAAACCGTTTTCAGTGCCTGGAAGACTGCAATGAAGTGGACGATATGAATGACAAGCTCGTGGAAACTGTCCATGCGGTCGGAGCTAAGTTCTGCAAGACCCGCCGCAGAAGAACACAAAAACTCTCCGATCACACTCTTAATCTCATGGCTGTTAGACGGGAGATGAAGCTACATTCTTCAACAGACTTGACAGCATACAGGCATCTGAACAGACAGATCTCCAAATGCATGCGGCGGGACTTACGCAACTTCAATACAGCTCGTATTGAAGAAGCGATCGAGCGGAACCAAGGCTCCAAAGTCTTTGCCAGAGATCTGTCTGCCAGAAAGAGCCAACTGTCAAAGCTGAAGACAGAATGTGGCAGCATCGTTTCCGGGACACCTGAGATTTTGAGTGAGATTGAGAGGTTCTATGGGCAGCTGTACACATCATCGTTGGAGCCACACGCAAATGTGAGTAACGATCCAAGAGCGAGTCTCATCCGACACTATTCCGAAGATATCCCGGATGTCAGTCTGAGCGAGATTAGGATGGCTCTCCAGCACCTTAAAAACGGTAAGGCCCCAGGCGAGGATGGAATTACAGCGGAGCTTCTGAAAGCGGGTGGAAGACCGGTACTTGAAGTCCTTCAGAAGCTCTTTAATTCTGTCCTCCATGGTGGCATTACACCGGAGGCGTGGAGCAGAAGTGCGGTGGTCTTGTTCTTCAAGAAAGGTGACAACGCTCTCTTGAAGAACTACAGACCGATTTCCCTTCTGAGCCGCGTCTACGTGCTGTTTTCGAGAGTCATTACGAATCGTCTCGCGCGCAGACTTGACGACTTCCAGCCTCCCGAACAAGCCGGTTTCCGAAAGGGCTTTAGCACCATAGACCACATACATACCCTTCGGCAAGTTGTACAGAAGTCCGAAGAGTACAATTTGCCACTATGTCTGGCGTATGTGGACTATGAGAAAGCCTTTGATTCCGTCGAAATTTGGGCGGTGCTGCAATCCCTTCAGCGGTGCCAAGTTGACTGTCGGTATATCGAAGTGTTGAAGTGCTTGTACAGTAGGGCTACGATGGCTATCCGAGTACAGAACCAGAATACGAAACCTATCCAATTGCAGAGAGGTGTAAGACAGGGTGACGTCATATCCCCGAAACTCTTCACCGCTGCATTGGAAGACGTTTTCAAGCTTCTGGACTGGAAAGGATACGGTATCAACATCAATGGCGAGTACATCACTCACCTTCGATTTGCCGACGATATAGTCCTTATGGCAGAATCGCTGGAGGACCTAAGCACTATGCTCAATGACCTCAATAGTGTTTCCCAACGGATAGGTCTTAAGATGAACATGGACAAAACAAAGATCATGTTTAATGTCCATGTCACACCTATGCCGGTAGTTGTTGGGAGCACTAAGCTCGAAGTTGTTGACGAGTATGTTTACCTGGGACAAATAGTCCGACTAGGTAAGTCCAACTTCGACCGAGAGGTCAATCGACGGATTCAACTCGGCTGGGCAGCGTTCGGGAAGCTACGACACATCTTCTCGTCAGACATACCTCAAAACCTTAAAACGAAATTGTACAACCAGTGCGTGTTGCCAGTGATGACTTACGGAACTGAGACGTGGTCCTTCACTGCTGGCCGTATGAGGAAGCTCAAGGTCGCTCAGCGAGCTATGGAGAGGGCTATGCTCGGAGTTTCTCTGCGTGATAAACTTAGGAATGAGGATATCCGCAGTAGAACCAGAGTGACCGACATAGCCCAACGGATTAGTAAGCTGAAGTGGCAGTGGGCCGGCCATATAGCTCGAAGAACCGACAACCGATGGGGAAGAAAGGTTCTCGAGTGGCAGCCTCGTACCGGTAGGCGAAGTGTAGGGCGTCCCCCCACGAGATGGAGTGACGACCTGGTAAGACATGCAGGAAGTCGATGGATGCAGGTGGCTCAGGACCGTGCTTTGTGGCATTCTTTGGGGGAGGCCTATGTTCAGCAGTGGACTTGTGAAGGGCTGTAATGATGATGATGATGATGACAGCAATAGACCAGCTATAACAAAAGTTCTTGATTGGCAGTCTTGTACTATTAAGAGGAGTTTAAGGCGGGCCCTCTCTTGATAGTGATAGTGATAACCTGGTGAGACATGCAAGAAGTTGATGGATGCAGGTGGCTCAGGACCATGTTTAGAACTTACATGCTGGCCTGCCTTAGGGCTTATGCTTATGTTGTGGTCTAGGTAGAATATTTCTTATTAGGTATTTCAATTCCATTTCCATAAAGGATACTTCCACCTATTTGAAGCCATATCGGCTGTAAAACCACCTCTTTTGCGCGAGGCGTAAAATCCCCAAACCAGCGACGAAAGCTTTAAAGATGCAAACATCTGGTACTGCAATGAGGGTATCCACGACTTTTTCTGCCACCAGGGCGGCGCCACTAGAAAGTGAGGTATAATATTTGACAGATTTCATAGCAGGGAAGTTAATTTGTTCGGAAAATGTAAAGGTTATTGTTACTTTCTGTACTATTAGCTATATTTTATATTAATAAGATTAAAAATAAATAAAACAAACCACAGATATTCATTAAAGTAGAAAAAATAAAAAAAGCTAATAATGTGAAAAAAATTAAAGAGCAAACCAAGCATGAGGCATTATTTTGTGTATTAATATAATACTCTAGAAACTGATAAAGTTTTATTAAAAACCAACTTCTCAATTAAATTACATTGTGTAACAAAAACTTTACCTCAATGTCAACTAGCGACATCTGGTGAGAAGAAAATTATTAGCCCTTATTAATAATCCTTTTGCCAAGCGTGGCAATCAAGATAAATCCGCTTTACAATGTAGGAGACTCATCTGCAGCTGTGGATTTTCACTGGCTGATGAGGAATATTATGTAAATTACTACAAAACTTGAATAAATTGCAAATGAATGAGCAATTTTAATAACTGAAAAGCTTTTTTTATTCATAGGTATCGAGATGCTGGGAAGGCAGTAGCAAAAGTTTTGCAAAGATTTACACCACTGTTAGAAAGGGCATCTATTGATGAAGCTTATTTGGACATAACAACACCTGTAAGTATTTATTTATAAATATAAAAATTAATCCGATAAAGCGTGATTAAAAACATGTTCACCATAATTCCATAAAGAGTTCACCTATGGACGCAATCCTTTGCCTCTGGGTGTACATTTAACGGGTAGATGAAATTACTAGCAATGCTATATTAAATTCGTAATCTACCCTTCAACCAGTCCTGGTAAGCTTGAAATACATGGTAGGAGTGGTTCATGACAGTAGTCGAATGGAGGATTCAAACCCACAACCTTTTGACTTCGTGATCCGCACCCTGCCATTAAGCTACTGTCGTTTTCTGAGAGATTGGTGATTGCCAGCACCAAAGACGTTATCTACAAGAGTTATCTTCAATGTTGTAGTTAACCTGTCATAATGCTATTAAATGCTAATATAATGCTATTAAATTTATACAGTTTAGTAAGAGAAATAAAAATGTGTTAAAGAGACAATTTAAATTACTTTTTAAGTTGCATAAACAAATATTTAATCGGAACTTGTATGGGAATATAATGTAATGACGTCATAGTCTTATAGTCAAATTATTCATTGGCTTATTTTTAAATACTAAAATTTTAATTTTACCTAAAATGGAAAATCAACCTAGTAGTTTTGACACACTTCTATGATTAAGAAATTTAAATTATATGATGTTATTTATTAGTTTCTGCATGCATAAAAAGGTCAATTATAATAATCATATTTGTAAAATCAATTATACACAGCAAAATATTGCGTAAATTTCCAATACTAATTAATTTTTGTTTATAATATTTAAATAGTTTTGTCTGCTAAGTAGACTGTAGTAGACTACAGTCTACTTAATGGTAATTGGCTCCCCCAGCCAAACATTAACAAGTTAATGACTCATTAGGAGGACTAAGTTATTAAAACAAAAGGTTAAAGTTTGCTGCTTAGGAACGCAAATAGGAAAAAGGATATTAGACAGACTAGGTAGAGCCTTACCACCTAGTAAACCTCATTATGTACTCACAAACAAATTCATTTTAGGTTCAACAAAGGTTAAAAACATTGAATGTGAACACAATAACAATAGATATGTTGCCCAACACATTTGCACTGGGCTATGACTCTATAGATGAATTTGTGGCTGATGTGCAGAATGTTGGCAGTGACAACATAGATTTTGAATATGAGCACACGAAACAGCTGCTCGTAGGGGCTGTTATTGTCAGTGAGATTAGAGCTGCTGTCTATAATGAAACTGGTAATGAAGAAATTTGTAATCATATTTTATTGTTTGTACTTACAGAATATGTTAACCTAATAATAATGTCCATGAGCCATGCTGCAGCTATATTAGTAGTATAGTTGTAGCATGAATGAGTCGGCTCGACCAGAGAAGGACCACGCTCTCACAGAATACCAAAGTAAAATAGCAGCTTAACACTGCTGTGTTTCTTATGGTGAGCGTTGAGAACCGGAGACCATTTTTACTGGCAAAGAGGCATTCCACTTAGTCCTCACGGGTGACAACGCATCTGCATTTTGATTCATTATCAAAGATAGATGTAGATGTCCTATGGGCCACAGTAACCACTTACCATCAGGTGGACTGTGTGCTCGTTTGTCATCCTTATTCTATAAAAGAAAATTCCTCGCGATTTAATTTCGGTCACGGTGCCCAGTCTTAATGGAAACTAGGCAACTGTGCAGGATTACAGTACCCGAGTGTATGCGCGAACACAGGTGCACTCTCTATTCCCTCACTCTTATAGTCCGATGAGACGGTAATCCGATCCGACCGGATAGAGATTAAGAGTAGGACCAAAGGTTTTACTTGCTTTCCGAGGCATAGGGGTGAAATACCGCCATCTTCCTGACTCCGTGCTACTGCTGAAAATTTCTTGACAGAAAAATCCAATAATTGACTTTGGCCTGACCCGGGATTCGATCTCAGGATCTAATGATCAGCATTCGCTTTAACGACACTAAATCAATGAGGCCGTAACCGGTCGGTCGCGTACGCTTACGTAGCAAACTACGCGCCGCTGTCGTCAGCGTCGCAGTGTGGGGCTACTTAGAACACAATGTACATTAGTACGCGCGACCGACGTCAGCCTAGGAGGAATTCAAGCCTTATATTAAATTTTGCAATTGTTGTAAAAGTCATATATTTTTTTAAATTACTTTAGATACGCAGTCAAAACTTAGCATTTGTATAAATTTAATATTTAAAAACTGTGTATATATTTTCAGGGTACCAATGTTCAGCTGGTATCGCACACAACAAGATCCTTGCGAAGCTGGTATGTGGTATGAATAAACCAAACAAACAAACTCTCCTTCCTAAGCACTGTGTCAATATTCTCTACCAGTAAGTTATCAAAGTTAGTAAGTTATCTTGTACGTAGTAGAGCCATGCTGCAGCTATATTAGTAATATATCTGGAGCACGAATGGGTTGGCTCGACCGGGCAAGGAGCACGCTCTCGCAGAATACCAGCGTAAAATAGCAGCTTAACACTGCTGTGTTTCGCAAGGTGAGTGTAGAGAACCAGGGACTCTTTTTACTGGAAAAGAGGCATTCCATCTTAAACCTCACGGGTATCAACGCATCTGCATTTTGATTCGTAAATAAAGATAGATGTAGATGTCTATGGGCCACAGCAACCACTTACCATCAGGTGGACTGTGTGCTCGCTTGTCACCCTATCCTATAAAAAAAGTTTATATTAGGAATGGGTCTTGGGGCCCCACTAGTGAGTACGAATTAATTAGTCTGTAATTAAGCTATCCCTTCTATACATATATTTTATCGGCATGTCTCGGCACCGTCTATCAGATCTGTGAGGCGATCAGATCATCTTGGCTAGGTGTGTTGTATTAACGTCTGAAATTTACTGTGTATTAAAATGTTTAGATTCCACTACAATCTAATACTAACACTGGCTGTTCACACATCTTATCCATTTCGTATATAGTGAATTATAATCTTCAAGCATGTAATCAGACTGCTTACTTATATCATTGAGTTTTATATGACAGTGAGACCTTTTTAAGCATCGATTATTAACAAATGTTTAAGTAAAAAAAGTGCTGTGCAATTCTTTGAACGGTGTTAGTCCAAGGACCCTTATCTCTAAAACTGTTCCCTCGGTTTTAGAGTCGTGTTAAATATTTCCGAGACGATGGCAGGAGACACGACGGTATGACTTTAGTTCCATGGGAGCGACGTAAAGTCCTAGAGTGGGATACTACGTAATACTGGTGGCCTCTCAACTTAGGAGTTCCTCGTTTAGCGCCGGGTAGCATCAAATCCAGATGAACTGAATTTTATCTCTTTTTAAAGAAAAAAACGTTAGCCCCACACTAAGATTATTTCCTGTATTGTGAAGGCAGTTCACAAACATAGATTGCACGAGGACATACATCCAGACCCGGAACAATTATTTGTAGGCCATACAAATACTTGTTCCGTGCGGGATTCGAACCCGCGGCACACAGCGCAACAACTTATTGCTAGGCCACTGCGCCACGGAGCCGTCTATTTGAACCATTTGCTGTTGTCTATCGGTCCGTGGGGTCTACACGCGTTAAGTTTCTAAAGGAACTCTATCCGCCACTGGTCGTCGCCGCTGGAAACAAAGACTGTTTGTGTTCTTTTTTCGCCTAAAAGCTCAGCATAAGCAACCAACGCGGAAGCGCAGCAAATGTTGTTGGCACTATTTATTGGGCAATAGAACTATTTGATAATATCAGTTTGTTTCTTTTATCGTAATTAAATTACCATGTAATGGTGGCGACCGACATAGCCCAACGGATTAGTAAGCTGAAGTGGCAGTGGGCCGGCCATATAGCTCAACGAACCGACAACCGATGGGGGGAAAAGTTTCTCGAGTGGCAGCCTCGTATCGGTAGGCGAAGTGTAGGGCGACCCCACATAGATGTAGTGACGACCTGGTAAGACATGCAGGAAGTCGATGGATGCAGGTGGCTCGGCCAGTCAGGTTTGAAAGTGACCGTACCACATTCTCACATGTCGTTTTTTTATTATACCATAAAATTATAATATTTTTAAAACAAATCCGTACACATTTTTATTTATTATTTTTTATTTGCAGGTCATTGTCAATTAAGAAAGTGAAACATTTAGGAGGCAAATTTGGCGACAGTGTGTGCGAAACATTAAAAATAAGTAAAATGGGTGAATTGCAAAAGTTCACAGAAAAAGAACTCCAAACGAAATTTGATGAGAAAAATGGGTAAATATATAAACTCTTTGATATGTGTCTAAAATATCTGCATTGCTTTGAATCATTATAATACGTACAGGGTAGTTGACACCCATGTCATTCGAAATCATCGTCATCGACGCCTATAATTATAGCGACACTTGTTTAAATTTGGCTGTGTTTCTATATATGTTATTTGCACGCTATGTTGGTGATTCAATAAATAAATAAATGCTTTTAATGAGCTATTAAAAACATTTTTTTTATACAAATTGTATGGGTGTTCAAGTAAATGCCAATATTGAATGAAACTAGTTTTTAGGGATTTTATCGCGTTTTATAATTTTTTTTATATTCCCGACGTTTCGAGTACTTTATAGCACATGATCACTGGATTACTGACGTGTTCGACGTCTCAATGTCATAGTTAACCGAACCCAGAACAAGCTTATAGTATCTGAAAGTGTTGGAGTTGTACGCTTGGGTTGGGATTCATTAAACGTGTTTACGTGAAACTTAGGAAATCAATACATAAATGACAATATTTTTTTCTTGTAGTCAAATAAGATTTTTATTTATATCATTTTCCAAATTTGATTTTGAATTGGAAAACCAATAAAGCCTTGAGATTACTAAAAGTAATAAATTTAAATTTTAGAATGTTATAATTCCTTTAAGATTCCAATCTAGTGGTCTTTGACAGACAGCGTCATAAACATTTTTTTACGCCAGACATGAAATACTTAAACTGGTCAGAGATGTGATAGGGGTAGTACTGTGCTGGTCAGTCCTGCCAAGCGTAAAGCGTCTCCCACACAAAAGCGGCTTGCGGTGGCGGCTAACCGCGAGGTGCGGCTCCAGCCGCTGTAACAACACACCACCGCGGTCGCAGCGGCGGCCTGAAGCGCCATTCGCTGTGGTGTCTATGCTACGATCGGACGTCAGTAAACATGGCTAACCGTGACGAAGTCTTATTACTCTTATTATATTCAGCAATATTATCCCATGTTTAGTTTTTAAACTAAACATGGGATAATATTGCTGTAAGTAAGTGAAGTATCATAAAATACTGGATAATTTTGCACTGTTTCTAAAAATCTCTGTATTTAGTGCCACTTTTCACGCGGTACACGCAGCCTGCTGTAAAAATTAGCAAGTGACCGTGCTGCGGCCACCGACAGGCTGCACGCTCGCTACACACAAGCGGTGGCGGAGGGGGCGGGGCATGCGGCCGCGGCCAGCCGCTGGCAGATCGCGACATGGCCGCACGGGTTTACAGACTCACATTTCAAAAATATGGGATAATATTGCTGAATATAATACGAATAAAATACATCGTCACGGTTAGCCATGTTGACTGACGTCCGATCGTAGCATAGACACCACAGCGAATGGCGCTTCAGGCCGCCACTGCGACCGCGGTGATGTGTTGTTGCAGCGGCTGGAGCCGCGGCTCGCGGTTAGCCGCCACCGCAAGCCACTTGTGTGTGGGAGACGCACGATTACCGCAAACCCTTCTTACCATGGAAGAAACTACTTCGCCAGGAGACTGTATGAATAGATGTTTGATGAGCATAAGGAGCACCCCCTTTTAAAGGAAGCCATTGTAGTTGTGCAACTGCTTAGGAGAATACCATTTGCTTAATGCGTTTTTGATAAATTATGTCCACTTAAATTTCAGTACGTGGCTATATAACATAGCTCGAGGAATCGACTTGGAACCAGTGCAAGCGAAATTCAATCCTAAGAGCATTGGCTGTTGCAAGCAGTTTCGAGGGAAAACTGCTCTCGTGGACTTGGAAAGCTTGAGAAAATGGCTTAAAGACCTTGGAGATGAGATTGAGGAAAGGCTGGAGAATGATGCCTTAGAGAACAATAGGACTCCGAGGCAAATGGTTGTGAGTTTCTCAACGCAACAACCCAACGGACGCGACGTCAGCAGCTCTAGATCTTACAACTTCACGGCCGAGGACGATCTGTGCGGAGAATTGTTCTCAAAGAAAGCTTTAGAAATGCTTTTGGACAGTGCAGAAGGCGTAAAGCCTAAAGGTACTCTTGCTCCTCCCTTTACATGGAATAAATCCGTTTGCATTTGTATTGGAAGGGACGATCAAAACCTTTTTTGATATTATATATATATATAACTACCCAAATCGCCAAGACTAAAAGTAAGAATTTGTAAGACCACTGCGATGGTACTGGTTTTGCATGCAACTACTTCTATTTCCTTCTACTTCTTGCTCAGCGTACTATGGGTAAGACTTTCAAAAATGCTTCTCAATTGGTACATAGTTAAAAAGTCCTATGTCAAACAGTGATTGTTACACGAATATTACACAGTTATGAAAGTACTTATATTCGGGATTAATGTCGCTCATCGTGCATAATGTATCGTCAAATTTCTAACTTGCTCTTTTTTGTTTAGCTAACTTGACCTTGACATTTTTATTACTAGCTGACATGGTATATAATATTGCTTAACTTAATTTACTTTTTATTGTTATTTTTTTATTACACTTGACATCTTTATATAATGGAATGGACTGTTTGTTGTTGTTGAATTATTGATTGATTTTGATATGTTAATTTTATAAAACAACACTTTCAAAGAATAAACAAATTTGCATGTCTCCATTAGGGACTTAGTAATAAATAGTATTTAATAGTATCTCATGTAACATACTTACTAAAAAGCAAATAAATAAATAAATAATAAAAACTAATAGCCATTTAGAAGTTATTGTAATGGGTCTAATATTTTAAAAGTCAATTTTCAACTTATTTTTAATATCTCTGTATATCTAATCCAAAAAAATTACATTTCGTCTATTGATAAACAAAAAAAATATATATGACGGCACCTGTACCGTTGTAGGTGCGGTGGCGTCGGTCTGGCTAGACAGAATTCTTGTAAACGACACGTGTACCGCACACCTGAGGCATTGCACCTGCGTTGCTACCCGTCCTGCTTGTATAAAACGGACGGAGCGGCCGTCGTTAAGACAGTCTTGGCTCTGACGTGGAACGGTACGCTTGTCGTATTCCGTTACTAGTTTATCCTCGACTCGTTGGATAGGTAATTCGTGTAAACGAATTAATTATTATTCCTAACTACAAAATTAGTCTCTGTATTATACCCACTATACTTTCTACATATACGCCCAGTGAGTTCCGTGAGAGACGATTATGGGATATGCCAGACCAATCTAATGGCTTCCTATAGTATACTAACTCGTCTTCGCTAGATCTGAATTGCCTATATCATCAACGGGCAGAAGCGCTAAAGGTGTAAGTTGCCTAGGAATCCGTCAAGATAGGCTCTACCATCTTACCTGTTTCTACTGCCAAACAGCAGTGATTCCATTTTGAAGGGTATATGAGTACCAGTATAGTTCGAGGCTGTGAGGCATTCCTTCTTAGTCCTCAGAGGTGACAACGCGCATATTTTCTTGACGTTATTTGAAAGTGTCCATGGACTGCAGTAGCCCCTTATTATCAACAGGTGAACATTTAGTTCGTTTGTCATAAGTTTTATAAGAAAAAGGATCATCATCCACCTATCGAGCGTCACGATTAAGGCAAAGTCTTCTTACGACGAGAGAAACCGATTTCTTTAAATAAGTAGAATGAGCTACACAATAAGAAGTTGATAGTGAGGGTAGACCAAATCAGACCCGCACCCTTTTATTATAATTTTTTTACAGAGGGAGAAGGAAACAGACTTTTAAAAGCACCTATAAAATTTTTGGGTATCAGTGTAGGAAAATTTGAAGAACACTCGGAAAATAAGAAAACAAGGAAGATTAATTATTATTTTTCTGGTGCTTCATGTTCAAAAGATGTCTCAAGCGATAAAGTCATAACTAAAAGTATTATAAATAATGATAAAACTGCCGATAAGAACGAAGGCAAAGCTCACGTATTCCGGAAATTCTTTCAGAATAATGATATACCTGATAATTTACAAACAGACGAATTGTATGAAAAGGCGGAAACAAGGCAAAATGGTGAAAATATGTTAGAATCCTCTTTGGATAAGCAAGAGTCGTTTTTTGCGAAGTTCCTTAAAACCGAATTTAACAAAAATACTTTCGACAACCACTCTAAACCTGTAAAAATTAAAGAAGAAAACCGTCCTACAACACCTGATTGTAATATTGTGAATATTGGAGAAGCCAGTAACGACACAGAATATTCGGGCTCTACGATAGATATGGAAATAAATAAAAGCATTTCCTTATTCGAAGATGATCCAGTGGATATAGACCGCGTCGGCAATATGAGACAGTTGCTTAATAAATCCAAGCTATTGGAAGAAGCTTTCGATGAAACTGAGCAGGAAGAACTGCAAGTCGAGTGTAAAAGTGTCGATGTTCAAGACAACGAACAAGTCCAAATATCAGAAACATTTAAATGCCCTGAATGTGGTAAAACAGTAAGCGTCAACATGTTAGACACACACGCGGATTACCATTTCGCTCTAAAGTTGAGAGAAGAAGAAAGAGTAATGAAACGTAAGGAAGTTGTAGACAAGATTAAAGATAAAGAGATGAATCGTAATCAGGAAACAAAAGCGACGAAAACGAGACAAGAAGAAGCAGTAGCAAAAAATGATGGTGTATCTATAGCTAATTATTTTACGAAAATCGATGGATCTGTTCCAACAGAAACATGCTCTGAATGTGGAAAAAGAGTTCCCCTGGAAAAGTTTGCCGAACATTTAGATTTCCACGAAGCTCAGAAGCTGAGTAGAGAATTGAATAACCGCTCAAGTAATAGTGTAATTCAAGGTAATAGTGTAAAGAGAAAAAGAAAATCGACATCTCCAGTGAAAAAGCCTAAAGTGCCATGTAAATCTATAGATCTCTTTTTTAGGTAGCAAATTGGAAATATAAATATTTATACTAATGAACTCTGTAAATAAAATGTTTATTAATTTTTATTAGTTTCTTTTGTTTAAAATCTTCCTTTCTTACTTTATTATTTTTGATTGGGGAATATATGTTTTAAATTTAAATATAGATAGGCATTATTGAGACCACAAGGTTAGATAACAAAGTGGTATCCTAATTATAAATATTTCATCATTTAAGTTTAAATTTTAATATTTTTTTCTAGTAATATTTTATGAATACTAATTCAGAGTACATATTATTAATATATATATATTTTACGTGGTAGAGCCATGCTGCAGCTATATTAGTAGTATAGTTGTAGCATGAATGGGTCGACTCGACCGGGAAGGACCACGCTCTCACAGAAAACCAGCGTCAAATAGCAGCTTAACGCTGCTGTGTTTCGTATGGTGAGTGTAGAGAACCGGAGACCCTTTTTACTGGCAAAGAGGCATTCTATTTTAGTCCTCACGGGTGACAACGCATCTGCATCTTGAGTCTTTATTAAGGATAGATGTAGATGTCTATGGGTCACGGTAACCACTTACCATCAGGTGGACTGTGTGCTCGTTTGTCACCCTATCCTATAAAAAAAAATACACATAGCCAAACTTTAAGCACTATACTAAAAGTACAACGAGCGTAGGTACAGAAAGTTTACTCTTGTAGTGCTCGATATAATAACCACTTACAAGCGTAGAGCAATACAGGCCAGCAACGGTCCTGCCCTATATAGTATTGTTAGCAATGAGTGTAAAAAAAATAAAAGATGATATGAGGGTAAAACTGTAATCTGCCTCGTTCTAGCAATATAAAGTATCGCGCAGGCGGCTAAGAAGAATCAGTCGGTAATTCTACGAGTTTCACTGTCGTTATTATGCCCGTTGAGGTAATTCTTCTAGTGTAGGCAAGGAAGATCGTATTGCTGAGAGGCTAACAGTATATTAGCGGGCAGGTGGGCCGAGGGGAGTGGCCATTACGTTTTTCCCATAAACATAACTGTCTGTCATTGTTTATCTGGGGAAACTCGGTACTCTAAAACAATCTCTCACTACGAAACTCAAATATAAGAAAACAATAAACCTAACAATTTCACAAACACAGATACATTATAACAGTATCGGTCGGTGACAGTGATAACTCGGCAACAGACTGATCAATCGCTCGACCGATCTGCATAAAGTATAGGGGGGCAGCCTGTGTTGGTCAACCAATTCCAGACAATACGACCGTTATTATCGTAATTTTTAAGTTGTTATTAAAAATTACTATAAAAGATAACTTCATATTTTTGTAAATTCTATGTGGCAGATCTCTTTTCACAGCAAGCCGCGCTACTAGGTTTAGTTTAGTGAGCAATGCGGCTGCAAACAGTTTTATTGTACGCATACTTTGACAAAGAGAAACACCCGTGTGTACTCTCCTCCGATCCGCAGGTGGCCCGTGTTGCTCTATGCCTACAAGCTACCTCGTCTCTTTCTATTGCATAACTTCTGACCTGGCATCTGCAACTTTAGGGTTGTCTTCATGTAACAAATAATCAATTTTAATAATTAATTATCTGTTATGTAGGTACCTACTTTCTATACGAGTATCTTATTATTCTCCTTTTGTGAACAATGACCTAGTATTGGATCAGAAAATAATTTTGCATTATATTGTCTGTCTAATTTAATAAGCATACTACGTACATAGTGTGTATCTTGTCTACTACGCTGAATATATGAAAAAAATTATTAGATATTAAAATCTGCCTGAAAAATTAAGACAAGTTAACTGCCAAACTCCGTCATCATTATAGTTATATTTAATTTCTATGTAACCGCCTTCAAAGTTTTATCACTGCCCTAAGGTTGAGTGGTGGAGAATACCTTTAGCATTAAATCCACTTTTTGATCCTGTATTTAATATCAGGTCGTGGAAACTTTCTTCGTATTTTATATAAAAATTTAAGACATTTTTTTTTCAAAGTTTAATTACATTTAATTATAATATATATGTGCCATTTTGTTCGATAACTTGTTGGCCTTGTAGGTAGTGACATAATCCCGTTGCTGTTGAAGACTTGGGGTTTTGATCTAAAAAAAAATGCGACAAGTAGTTTTGGCAGTCTTCTCTTGATGTTAACATAACACTAGCTAAATAATTCTGAAGAGACCGATACAGGTGAAAATCTGTGGCTGAAGGTCAGGACTATATGGTGGATGCTTTAATACTTCCCAGCCCAGCTCTCTCAATTTTTGCTGAGAGGTCAAAGACGTGTGTGGTCTGGCGTTATCACGATGAAAGACCACTCCTTTTCTGTTGATCGATTCCGGTCGTTTTTTCTCAATTTCTTGCTTGAGTTTTATTAGCTGTTGGCAGTAGTGATCCGAATCGATGGTTTTGCCCGACGGTAAAAGCTCATAATAAACGATGCCCTTCCAATCCCACCATACACACAGCATCACCTTATTGCGTGTTAATCCGGGTCTCGCTACAGTCTGTGGAGCTTGAGCTACCCTTTGACCATGATCTTTTCCGCATGTTCTTGTCGTAGGTGATCGATCCACTTTTCATCACCAGTGATCAATCTTTTCAAAAATTGTTCGGTATCATTACGTTTCAACAGAGAATCGCAAATGAGTACACGATTCATTAGGTTTCTTTCAGTGAGCTCGTATGGTATGCAAACGTCGAGCTTTTTTTGTATAGCCAAACTTTTTCAAATGGGTCATAACTGCTTTGTGGTCAATCCTCAATTCCTCGGCTATGTCGTAATTACTAATATGTCGATCTTACTCCACTTTTTCAAAAATGGCATCGACTTTATCCGTATGAGGGCGACCAGAGCGAGCTGCAAAATTCCCGGACTGAAACTGAAAACGCTTGAACCAATTTTTAAATTACTGACACTGCATTAGATCCATAAACGTCACAAATATATTAAAACAAACCACATACAAACAGTACAACCAAATAAATTTTTCTTCAATTTTATACAAACAAAATACAATTGCAATTAGTGATGTGTGCGCCTGACCTTTTCTTTAGTTGAGAAAAGCGTAGGTACACAAATGTCTTACGGGTGTAACGACAAATTATGGCGGACTCGCATCAATTAAAACGCCGTGGTCACCTTCGCCGTATATTGGCGCGTCCACAGGAATACTTTCGTTGTCATCTACGTCTTTCAACTATACCACAAAAATTCGCTTTCATTCCGTTCCGCGGCAGTGTAAATTGTGGCTTAGCACCCCGCCACGACAAGCCGTACCATCTGCCGTAATCATATCTTATCATAAGAACAAGGGTGACAATGCAGTTATTTCACCTTTAATAAGAATAATCCACGTTTAATTTCTGGTGAAATTGGTCTCTAAAAACCTTGGTGAGTTTTCAAAGAGCTGGACAGTTATTCTTGCGAGCTTATTTTTTTTTTACATATATAGTGCATGTTTTGTCTTACGTTGAATTACAAAGATTCAACCACTGAAATGCACAGGTGAGCAGCTAACTGTTGTCTTGTTTCTTTTATCTTACTAACCTAACAGAACTCTTGCTTATCTTAGAAATGTCTAAGGCGTTTTACTTGAGGTTTTTACAGTTCACTGACGGTTAGTTATTATATTTACATTGCAGGTGTTAGTTATAGGGGAAATATATCGCAATCTTCATCTAGACGATGTTAAAATGTAGTGTTAGATTCTACCACGATTCATTTACTATCCAAATAAGAGTAATGGTAAGGTACCAAAGGAAAACTTATAAGTCATCCCTTAGATTCTATTTTCCTTATTTTACATTTTTGATGTCTACAAGGCATTTTGCCTCTATCACAAGCAATATGGTCTTTACCAAAATTGCCTTTTGAAATCTAAATAGGTGCAGATTCTCTAATGCTGCCTCAACAAGGTAAACATACTATAGTTGGGACGAAATAATAAAACTAAATAATTTATTTTAAAGCAGAGATACATGGGAACAATTTCACAAAATTATGTAGGTATGTAGTTTCAGTTTTTGTGATAGTGGAACTTACAGTTCTTGTTTGGATAGCTAGTTCAGACAAGTGTTGCAAACCGATTATGGTAGAGAATGGAACTATTGTGAGTCTGTGCTCTCCCCACTCGGTAGAAAGTGCTATTATTCTTTGCTCCCCTCTGCATGATTTTATACTAAACTATTAATATATTGAGTAATACAATAATTAATGTACAATATAAATAATACTACAATGTTAGAAATTTTGTTTATTTGTGGATTAACAAAAATTAAACTGCGTAGATTTCATTTTGCACCTTCCTCCATGAGTCAAGTGGTCCATGCTCTGGCCGATACTTGACGTTGCAACCATCGTTGGCTAAACGACCTTCTTCACGCAGCTTCTCAAACTCCTCGCGCTCGTACTTTGTGAAGCCCCATTTCTTGGACACATAGATCTGAAATTACAATAATTGAACGTATAAGTTAATAAAATTTATTTTATGAAGTTATCACAAGACACAAGTACATATTCTATCCAAAAAAACAACAACATATAGAGGGGTTGTCATACCTTTTGGCGGCCAGGGAACTTAAACTTAGCACGACGCAGAGCTTCAATTACTTGCGCCTTCCAACGGTCACTGGAGCGCACAGACATGATGGGCTGGCCAATACGAACACGGGCTACAGTGCCTTGCGGCTTACCAAAGGCACCACGCATCCCAGTCTGGAGCCTGCAATTCAAAAAAAAATTTTTTAAGTTATTGTCTGTGGGTATGAAAATCCAATATTGACTGTATTTGCTTTGTATATATTCTTAGGTATTTCAAATGACAATAATTATATTTCGTTCAAATTGTAATGATCTATTTATATTATAATTTTAACATTATTCAAAAACAGGACAGGCACATGTCTGACATTAATGGGCTGATTATGTTTAAGATCACTATTTTAATATTTCTTATGTGTTGTTTGAGTTAAGAACAAAAGATCTATTAAAATAAATCTTATCACTATGTGTTGTAAGAGGCAATAGGGATATCTTCCTGAGTAAAACTCAATAATAATAATCTAAAAAAATGCATTTGGTGCCAACCTGCATGACTAGAGTACTCTGTGGTTTAACAATGAGATTCAGCACTAAGAGCTGGAGGGGTTTAAGTCCTGCAAGGAACAAGTATTTGTATGGCCAACAAGTAATTGTTCCTGGTGTGGATTTTTGTCCATGTGCAATTTATGTTTGTAAACTGCCAAAACAATACAGGAGAAAATCCTAGTATGCGGGTCATTTCATAAAAAAAAACTATGGTAAATCCCCATATAAAGCAGTCTATATAGGTGAGGCTTATTTTCAGTAATGGATTTTCGATGGGTTTGAATGAATGTATGAATGCATGTTATAGCCCAATAGTTAAACCGATAAGAGCCACCGTTAAATAAATCAGGTCTGGAGTAAATAAAAATATAAAAAATATTACATATTATTAATTCAAAAACAATATATTAGAGCTAGAAACCATTAACTAGAAAATAGACTTTAAAACTGTTATAAATAACCTTTTTAATTCCAAGAGTTCAAAATAACAGGAGTTTAGACAACCAAGAGGGAGGGAAGAAAAAATTAAGTAAGGGTTTGATCAAAATTCGCGATTTATTTATATGTGATAACATTTGTGGACAAATGTTCATTTTGAATAGAAGTCTCATTAATGTAAACAATCGACAGGTCTATACATGTATGTAAACAAACGAGAGGTCTGCCCATAATAAACTTTTCAAATTATCAGGAGTAGGGAAGCACAGACTTAAAATTATCGCATGTTGGTGGGCAAGATACTATTTCTTCATCTTCAAATTACGGAGGGGATCAATTAATATGGATTTTATTCAATTTATGAGTATTGTTCAAGGAACCAAGAAAGAATTTCAAATTATCAAGATATTCAAATTATTGACTTGACTGTATTACACAATGAAGCAAACATTTCATTACTAGTATGCCAGATAGTAAAAACATACTTTTTTATTTTTAGAATAAACTAATTAAAACAATAATCTATCATACTTAGGGTTGCCACCTTTCTTTGAAAAAAATATTGAATTTTTCCCAAAAAAGAAGCAAAAATATGGTAGTTTTGAGAAATTCAGGAAAAAAAAAAGTACACTTGTTTTTTAGAATGATTACATTTTTATAAGCACACATATAAAGTTTCAATATGCGGAGTCACGTACTTTTTGAGAAAAAATATTGAAAATCAAATATTTTGCAATATTTATGTCAATTCCTACCGTGAAACTGACGCCAGTTTTTATTATTATTGTCAGTAGGGATGTCGATTCTTTCCGAAAAAGATCGATTTTTTAAATAATTAAAGAAAAAAATTCCCTTCACCATAAAAAAAAATAATGGGACTGATTCAGAAGGATTTCTGTATCTATTTTGAGACTGCTACGTCTCCGGCGCTGCGAGAAGAGCAGCCTCTACGCCTTAGCGTTAGTTACAGCAGGCGGAGACTGCTCCCCCTACGCGCCTCCGGCTCCACAAAACCACTCTAGGGGCGGGACAGACTCGTACCAGGTGGAGTCGGGGTCAATCAATTCGGTTCTTTGACATAAGTTGAACATAACCTATTTTATTTGTTATCTGCCTACCATTAAAATAAAACAAATTTCAATAAGAGATCATTTATCATGGTATCTTTCTTGATTTTCATAAAATGGGTTTATATTTACATTATAAATGCAAACATTAAAAAAATATAGATATTTTAGAAATCGATTTTTGTGAACCGATACATCAGCTTACGATTTGAATCGATTTAAAAATCGACCTTTTTCGGAAAGAATCGACATCCCTATTGACGTCGACAATGACATTACAAAATGGCGCCAGTTTTACGGTAGGATTAGACATAAACATTGCAAGAATAATTGATTTTCAATATTTTCTTTTTCTCAAAAATTACGCGTTTCCGCCGCATGTTGAAACTTTGTGTGTGCTTATAATAGTGTAACTTTTCTGTAAAAATACGTAACAACACCCAACTCGACGGACGTCAATGGAAAGCTAAGCCCTGCTTTTCGCTTTGGCTATTAATGATCTAACCTTTAAAATAATTATAGGAATTTCAGCTATTCATTTTCAAATTAAACTAAATTAACAATTAATTGTGTTCTTTTTGCTTTTTTTTTAACTAACAGATAAATGTCTATGTACTCAAATAATCCTAATCAAAGTGGAAGATAATGGCAAAGAAAAGACTAATTCTTCTGCATTTTTGGGGTTTCTTCTTGTAGACAATCCCAACTTAAGAAAATAGACACTGAAGAATAAACATTACTCGGTGTATGGTTGAATATACTATTCATTGCGAGTCTAGTAAAACTGTGTGAAATAAACTGTAAAATCTTACTTAACATCTAATATAATATTCCAAAGCAGTTGTCTCCACACTTAAACCCAAAGTCACTAAATCTCAAGAGCTAAGACTCACACAAATTTTTTAATTTTGAAAGCTGTGAATGGTCAAATTGGTTGTGCTTGCAGGTCAAATATTAGAGACTCCTAGAGTATTTATAAATGACTTAAAAAAAAGGAGGTTCTCAATTCGACTGTATTTTTTTAATGTGTGTTACCTCAGAACTTTTTTCTAGGTGAACCAATTTGGATTGATTCTTTTTATATATGTAAGCTGGCACTTCTCTTGTGGTCCCATATAAATTAGTTAATAATGCATATGTAATTGACTTCAACTTCATTGATGATGTCATTTTATTGAAGCCGGTTGTACAAGTTTTATATTTACCACTTGTCATGGAGTGCTCAATTTGTTCACCAAGTCACACAAATCCAACATACTATGTAAATCATAAAATTTTCAGCTTAAAAGCTTTTTCAAATATTTCTTTTAATGGCTTCGTTGCTGGCGACCATACTCATGTAATTGTCACAACCATTACTAGCATTTTAACCTTTAACTGGTGACGTGCGGTCTCACAGGCCAAGCGGCGCTAGCGAAACATCATATCACCCCCTTCCCCGCACTTCCCGTGTTTGAGCGCCTGAGTAGCTTCGAGTTTAGTATCGCCAGTGCACTAGAGGGGGATAGTTGCGTCGGCCAGGCTCAAATCGGTAAGTTAGATCGATTTAAAATTCTCAAGCGGCCTCTCAGACCTTATGTCACCACTTATGCAACTTTTTTGGAATTACACTATATTGATTTATTGCGGTTATTTTCAGATATTACTTACAATGAATAACCCTGGACCTCTTAGAAAAAAGCGTAGAGAGGTTGTTGACATAAATGCAGTGCCAAGTACAAGTAGAAAAGTCTTATCAGTTGTAAAGTCTAATGTCGATCGCCAAATTGTAGAATGGTTAGCTCAAGAAGATTCAAGTGGATCAGAAGCTGAAGACGTTCCCGAAAATTATGCCCCGGAGCATAGCGACCACAACACGGAAACGGAAGCAAGTGCTTCTGAAGATGAACAACCAGTAATATATCAGGAAAACCAGCTTTCAGAAAGTGACAGTGACAAACATTTGTCAAGATTATCTAGATATTTCTATGGGAAAAATTGGTTCAAATGGGCAAAAGATCCACCAAACAGAGCTGTGAGGACAGGTCAACATAACATTATAGCTCGTGTGCCTGAGTTAAAGTTGACTGAACACTATGAAAAAGACCCTTTTTCTTTGTGGAAGAAAATTATAAGTTTAGATATCTTAGAAGAAATTTTGAAATAGACAAATGTGAAAATTGGTGAACTGAGATTAAAGTACATACCCTGTACAATATTGGAGAGTGTGCAACGATCGATGAAATGTTGATAGCATTTAGAGGTCGTTCTTTTTTGGTCATATATATTCCAAACAAACCAGCCAAATATGGTTTGAAAATGATGTGTATGTGCGATTCTATAATGAACTATTTTTATAATGGCTATATTTATTGTGGAAAAGGATCTGATGGTGAAACTTTGACAAACGAAGAAAAGAAGTTTCTAGTTCCATCACAAGCAGTGACTCGCTTGACGAAACCCGTTCACAACAGTAATCGCAATGTAACATTTGACAATTACTTTACATCAATTGAATTGGTAGATGCGCTAAAGAAATGAGGCCTGACGTGTAGGTACTTTAAACTGCACCTGCAGTCGCCAATCGCGACGGTGGCACACGGTACTTTTTTATCGAATGTTAGACATAAGTACAGTGAATGACCATGTTCTTTATCAAGCTGTTGGTGCCAATACCATTGATCGGGAACAGTTCATCAAGATCTTGGCGAGAAACACGGTTTTACAACACATGAAGCGCAGAGTTTATAATACTCATATTCCACGTGATATAAAAATCAACTTAGTGCGTATTCTGAGTTCTGATTTACCACCTGAACCACAAAATCCTGAAAACACGAAAAACCTGTGCAAGTTGTCCTCCTAAATTGAACCGTAAATCGAAAAGTTGATTAGTGTTTGAACTTTGATAATATATACATATATGTTATGATTATGTTGATTTTTATTATTTTATAAGCAATTGTTGATCTTGAGCCTAGTTTTTCGATAATAGAGACCAAAAACTTTGTAACTACCAGTACATTATTAAAAATTATATTTAGACTACATGAAGTTGTTTTAATTTTTACTTTAGTATATAATTTAATACAAAATATACATTAGAATAACCTACCGTATTTAATATACGTATTATAGACCAGATACAGCAGCGGTCTGTCAGGCCGCTCGTCACCAGTTATGATACAAAAAATCACGTCACCAGTTAAAGGTTAATGTTAAGCATAACTTTAACCATTTCCCTGTTAAGAAGTTAAAGAATAAGCTCAAAAAAAAATTAAAATAGAATACTTAGAAACTTACCTATCAGCTCCAGCGCACGATAACATTTTATTAATGCGGATAACATGGAAAGGATGCAGCCTCATGCGGATGTGGAACTGGTCTTTACCACAGTTCTTGACGAGGTATTTGTTACAGCAAATACGACCCGCTTCAAGTGCTTCCGAGCTAAGCTGCTCATATTCATCCGACACCAAGTGCACGCATAGCGGGAAGTCATCCACAGCAGCTTTCTTTTTACCCAAGTCGAAGATTCGAATCTTTGGGTCTGGTACACCACGACAGAACCGTGACTTAGGATACGGTTTGTTTTTACAATACCGGTAGCTGGAAATTAAGAAAATAATTATAACTCAAGTAGCATAATGTATATTATCAAACTAAAATTACTTTAACAAAAATTACCATCTCGCTGGTCGGCGCCCCATTGTGATCTGAAATACAGCAAAAACTATGTTCAGTAATAGGTAAAAACGATCAATTTAAATACTCGTCAATAAAATTAAAATATTTTAACACGATTACATTAGATTTCAAGGAAAATAAAATATACCTTCACAAAGTGACACCACTACCAAAAAGAAAAGAAAGATGTCAAATTGACATACAATGTAAAAACACTTTTGTTGCCACTTATTATGTACCACAGACTAAAGGCTTGGTTTCACTTTGATTAGTGCGAGTGCAGGTGATTAGTAATTGCGGTTGATTAGTACAGGTGTGTAGTGTAAGTAGTTTCCAATTCTGTTTAGTGGATGTGTTTAGTAAATTCAGTTGTTAGCAGTCGACCAGGAAGTATGGACATTTTTTAACAGAAGCGAGCGTCCGACGCTAAACGCTAAACACTTAACACTGCTGTCCAAACGTGTTTAGTGGCAGGCATGCTGCGAGTGAGGGGAAAGGAAGGGCGCGCGGGGCATGACACTCGCAGTCCACTCGCAAAAAAATAAAACACGCTTCTAATCACTTTACTACACAGGATTTTAATCACTTGCACTAATCAATCGCTGTCCACACGTGTTTACTCCTAAACACTAAGCACCTGCACTAATCACTTGCACTAATCACTTGCACTAATCACTAATCAAAGTGAAAACAGGCCTTAACTGGTAGATTCTACAGACCGACATCTAAAGCTTTTGACAATGGGATTAAATATGTATTATATCCCGGGATTAGCTTTCACACTGTAACACTGTGAGATAAATCTTTTAATTTTAACCAGTGTGCATTCGTCGTTGGATTACCCCCTGTACCGCACACCGTTCTGTGGCGGCGCGGAATGGTGTGCGGGGTACTGGTGTTCAGGGGGCGAAATATAATATGAAAAGATCGCTCGGTCGATTGAAAAAATATTTTTATTATTATAGCTCAGTGTAAACGATCCCATTTAAAAGTATGGTGAGCGATATTAATTTATATCTCGAGATGTAATAAATATTATATTACCTATATCCCATAGTGAAAAGTGGGCTTCATGAACTAAATTTATACTCCATAGACTTAGAACAGTATATGCCATAGACTTACAATATATTGAAGTATAGACCTAGATAGTGTGCAAGGGAGAAGAAAATTCCTTATGGCAAAAATGTAAGATAGAAAAGGATACCAAATCTCATGACTGTGTGACCGATTTTTAATGACAGATTGGCACAATTCGGCACGCAAGAAATAGCTATTAGATGTTTTGGAATTTTTAGAGTGTAATAGTAGTTATTTCTATTAAGTAACTTTTTTGGAAAATGGTTACTTAATCTGCGACTGACTGTGGTGCTATTATTAATAGAAATAATCATGATAATTGCACCTTTCACAGGTAAATTCTCCAGACATCGTCAATGTTATTACGCGTTTATTTTTAGTTAAATTTTATTTTATATACTGTGTAAAATATAGAATGTATTCAATTATTTAGTTAATTTTGATATTTTGCAAAGAAAAAAGTCACGTTTTTGATAATTTGCATGAATTTGGTATATACATTTTATTACCAAATATTTTAAATCTACGCTAGGGATTGACTCAACTGATATAGTTGAAACTGTAAATGAATGTCGATGTTTATCTTGAATGTTTATAATAAATCGATAGACTTGCGCACACAACAAGAAAATAAATCCTCGGTTTGCGTTCTAAAATGTAATTTTGTTTTACCTTTTGTCAAACAGATTCCCTATGGATGCTATAATTAGCAAATATGGTTAACGTTAATTGGACGGGTTGATTGGAATACAAAGAAGAACTCAACAATTTGCAACAAACATTTTGTTGCGAAGAATACAAGAAAAATTAGAATAAAAACAATTTATTTAAAGGAACCATTCCTACATTATTTTTACCAGTAAGTATAATGTTGTAACAATAAGACTTCAAAAATATAACTTCAAAAACTTTAGGTGAAATTAGAGATAAATTTTTATACATTATAAAACTGCAGTATATTAAAAATAAAAAAAAATTGAGATTATCCTATTAAAGCAATTTTTTGAACCCAACTGAGTATCTATTCATCAACGAAAAAAATGTATTACCTTACTTAACCAACCGCACCTCACAGTCTCCTCATTTTCTCTAAGGGGTTGAGCGGAGCCTCGGATTATATACCCAAGTCACAATGATAAAACTTTTAATGTAGTTAGATATAGATATTTAGTAATGCTCCAGAAGCGCCGCTAGATACCCGCGCATGAGGCACGTAGTTCAGTTTGCCAGGATAGTATAAATTCCATAGTATTTGATACTCACAACGCCTGATACTCGATTTATGCTTGGTACCCGACGACAGTATGTCGAAGGCTAAATAGCGTGGTTCATTGCCTACGGCGTTATGCGTAGAGTAGAGGAACTTCTGGTTTATTAACAGCTGCGCGGATCAAAAGTTCTGCGGGATTAAGTTACGCTTGTCACATTCAGTCCATGGATGAGTCACCGTTTTCTTTACATACCGAAATTGAGAGAATAGACAGTGCATCTGTATCCTCACATACCTGGTACAATTTCATATCTCTCGTATTTGGCTAATCTGTGTAAGATCATTGTTTTTAAATTCATGCAGCTAAAACGATAATAAGTTTGTTATTTTTCAGGGACAGGTGAAAGAAAGAGAGAGTAGTCACATAAACATATTGGCCTTTAAACAGAGCTAAATAAGTTTAACTGATTCCAACAAGTTTCCTTACTTAAATTATTAAGTTTAAATGTATATTTAAGTCGAATATTAAAACTAAATTTTTATAATGTATTTAATTATTAAATTTTTGTAATTATTATAATAATAGTTGTATGAAAAATAAAGCAGCCATTATGTACTCCGTGTCCCCGTTTTTTATTTAAACAGTAAAACATTTTATAAAGTATATAAAGTATAAATAGGTTTTTATTTCATTAAGTATCTACCTATTTATAGTTTATTACCGTTATGTTAAAAATCCGGGGAAACTATTCATGGCAGTAAAGTTTTCTCTAAAGGTCATGCATAATTCGAAAATAAGACTTTCCGATCTGATTCTTGCAGAAAATTGTTTAAGTTTATCGGTAGACTCACCTCTTCAAAGATTATGAATTTGTACATTTTGAATTAAAATACAACAAAAGGCAGGTAGGTGCAGCTTATTCCCGGGAACATGTTACTTGAGTATTTTTTAATTATCTTAGAACTATAAAGGTAAAAATTCTGTTAATTTTTGAGGTTTTTCAGTTTCGTACATTAAACAATTTTTTTAATGTTTTACCGCTTCCTTAGCTATCATTTTTCGATAGTCCTTGCAAGTAAAATGCACATCACTAGCTAATGCACACAATGACAAATCAAAATTGGTTACAGATTTTCAGTCTGTCAGGTGGTCTATACGCCATTATATTCTAAGTCTATGGTATGTTCTAAGTCTATGACTTACTTGGCTTAGCTTCTGTATCCTGATTAGTTGTAGGAAAACATAGACTTAAATAGTAGCAAAATGATATTTCACATGTCTTTTTTTATTTGAAACAGCTATACCAGGCAAAGGACGTCCCAAATAATTGTCAGTTGCAATTTTTTTTATTATATTCAAAATAAGACCAGGTAAATACAAATGAAACAATGTTGAAATCTATTTAATCACTTTATTTTTCAGCTTTTTTATATTATATTTTATATTACTTACCTTGCATTTCTAGCAGCTGTCTTCTTTCTAAACGAACAATATCTACACCTTTTAAAATTTTATTGATAATAGTGCACCAGTTATTTATACCTAAATCTATTATTATTGATAAAAAGGCTTCTATTACTTCAGTCCTATACTTTCGGCATGTAATATGCTCAAAGCGATATTTATTTAATATTGCATGCTTTATTAAGCAAACTTATTAAATAAACATAATTGCTTCTAGAATAAATGGATAATTATCAATACAAGAATCACCAGTTTCACCACTTTCGTTACTCACTTCCTTTTCATGTCCTTTAAACAGGCTCTTTATTTTTAATTATTGTGCACTAAGATCATCTTTATATTGCCGTGTAGTGGCGGTTAAATATATCCACTACCCCATATCTTCCTATGGTTGTCATAAAAGGCGACAAAGGGAAACAGGCAGGAGATGGGCAGCAGCATCTTCCTGATAACAGCAAACGTACAATAAAAAATTAGCTGTGGTTGCTGACCCGCTCGCCAAGCGTGGCAACTATGGCAAATACCCTCCAATGATTAGAGCAACAAAGAAACGGCCCCCAGTCCCCAGCGGCCCCGCTATTCCTGGCTACGGTGGCGTACATGGAAACGGCGGGGCAGGGGGTGTTAAGAATAAGGTGGAGGTTCGATTGCCACCTAAGATGACTCGACCTGGCAACATACAACGCACACACCCTGAGGACTGACGAGAAGATCGTGGAGAAGAGATAGACAAGTTACGCTGGCATATAATATGGACACGGTAATCCTCGAATCCGGCAACTTGCTCTATCACCGGGACGGCGACCATCTGTCCGAAAGAGGTGTCGGATTTATCGTCCACAAGTCTCTCGTTAACAACGTTGTAAAGATTGAGAGTGTGTCGACGAGGGTTGCGTACCTTATATTCAGAATCACCAAACGGTATGCGCTGAAGATCATACAGGTTTATGCACCAACCTCGGCACATCCCGATGAGGAGGTGGAGGAAATGTATGAGGATCTCTCTAGAGCAATGCATTCCTCCAAAACCCACTATACGGTGTTAATGGGAGACTAGGCACGAGAGAGAACGGTGAGCTGAAAGTAGGGAAATTTGGAATAGGGCAACGGAACCCAAGGGGCCAACAGCTGGCCGAATTCATGGAGAAAGAGGGATTCTTTATGATGAACTCTTTCTTCCAGAAGCGGCCCACAGAAAGTAGACCTGGTCGAGCCCCGACGGTTCGACAAAAAATGAGATTGACTTCATTATGACGACCAGACGACAACTGTTCAGTGATGTCTCCGTGATCGCGAGGGTGAAATCTGGTAGCGATCACCGAATGGTTAGAGGCACACTGAACCTAAACGTTAGGTTGGAGAGGTCTCCTCTAATGAAGTCAACGCTCCGTTCCCTCGTGCTCTGTTCCAAAGTCCCGAAA